ATACAAGACCGAAAAATGGTGGATTCCATCCTGCCAATCCGCCAATCAAGGGCCGAATGCTGTCGTAGTAAGCGATTCGAACCTGGGATAAAACCAAGTTCCAACAATCGCTCAGGAGCTTTTCGTTATCTGCCTGATATCACGGACGCTGTAAAGGACGTTCCATCCGCTAAGCCGAGAACGACAAAGACTATGGGAACGACAACACTACCTAGGGATCCGTAAGGTCACTGCTGCATGTGTTTGTAAACCCAGAACCGCCGCTGTCTGCTGCCGACTGCGCCTGTTCCGCGACCAATTTTCGGTTCTGAAGGGAACGAACAGTTTTTTGGTGTATCGCGTCGCGGAGCGGTCGACGCGTCGGCGAGCGACGGCCCGGCCGTCCACCCGGGCGAGAGCGAGGGCTCACGTCCCTCTCGCGAGCAAGGAGAGATGGTTACGATTTTGATTTTTAATTATTTGCCGAACATCCGCGCATGCCGACGAGCACACCACTGAAAGCCTACGGGGCCGTCATGACCTTCGTCGGTCACGACCATTATATTGCGCTGCCGATTATCCGTCGCGAACGCGAGCAAGAATTATTCTTATTATTATTGACTATCAAAGCTGCCGAAATAATAGACAATGTTATCCGCTACCGAGCAATAAAGCTGCGCTTAAAATTACTCAAAACTTTGCATTTTTACTTACAGTTGCAACTCTTCTCACCTCCGACTTCGCGAACCAGCCCCTCTACCGCGAGCAGGGTTGAGCTGCCGGTTTTCCGCGCTAATGTTTCGAACGGAGGACGAGCTGCGCCCGTCAGCGAGACTATTGTTAGTGAACTTATTTTAGAGTAGTGAGGACGGACCGCCGTATCTGACGCCCATTTCTTTAGTGAGCTGTCGGGTCTCGCCAAATTCGCCGAACGGCCGATTAGTCGTATATTATTTTGTAGTGCACCCGATCCGTGTGCCGACTGCACGGATCGGAGAAGAGTACGTTACAATTCATATAGAATTACTTCAACTCAAATAGACATCTTCGGATTTAATAAATTTTATTGCATCCACACGAAAAAAAGATCAGAAACTTTGGTTGGGTGTGCTTGTGAGTATCTATAGATGTCCACTTTTAATGCCATATGAGATAAAAAACATCAGACTCGGCTGGGATCGATCTTGAGTCTTCCACGTGCCAGACAACCGCTCTTTCCACTGAGCTATTTAAGACTTTATGTTTGACATCTATATACCTAGTGAAAAATGATTCGTTGATTGACATAAAAATGATATCAAATTGACGTCGGTTTGACGCTTTCAACGTATTTGATGTCATTTTGACGTCAATTAACGAATCATTTTTAGCTGGTATATACTGTTTTAACTGAGCTTCAAATGTAAGTAAAGCGCACTTTCAAATATGTAATTTAAAATCCAAGAATATGTAATTTAAAATCCAAGAATGGCTTTCAATGCGATTGAACTTGTTAGAACTGTATATAGATTTTTGAAACATGAATACAAACTTAAGGATAAAATATACTTCGTATAAATCTATTTATTAGTAATACAAGTGACCATTTTATATATAAAAAGCTATTTTAATACCAATTCCCTTTCTTTGTCCTATTATATAAAACTTATAAAATGTATAATTAATTTCACAAAATACAAATAACTGCAAATAACAATAAATTAAACAATTTATATGTAAATATATAAATCAATTATTATACACTGTAACGCTACACGTTTTCGATCCGTGCAGTGGGCACACAGGTAGGGTGCACTACAAAATGCGACTATTCGACTGTTCGGCAGATTTGGCGAGACCCGACAATACTCTAATGAGCGCCAGGTATGGCGGTACGTGCCAACTAAAATTACAAAACACTAAACGGTCTCGCCGACAAGTGCAACTCGTCCTCCACCCGAAACAGCTCGCACGAAAGACCGGCAGCTCAGCCCTGCTCGCGGTAGAGAGACTAGTTTGCAATAAGTCGGAGATGGTAGGGGTAGCGGCGGTTATCAAAATTACGAGGCCTTGAATACTATTAAACGTGGTTTTATTGTTCGGTAGCGGTAAACATGACTTATTATTTCGACAGCAATACTAAACAATAATAAAACTAATCCTTGTTCGCGGTCGCGATACGGGTATTTAGCAATGCAATCTACTAGTCGTGACCGACGAAGGTTACGACAGCCACGTAGGCTCTCGGTGGTGTGCTCGCTTGTCGGCACGCGCAACAACGGATGTTCGGTAGATAATAATTAATCGAAACGATACCTGAAGCTCTCCAAAATTCGCGAAAGGGACGCGAACCCTCGCCCTCGTCCAGGTGGACAGCTGGGCCCTCGCTCTCCGACGCCTCAACCGCTCCACTTCAACCGCGATTCACCAAAATATAGGTTCGTTCCCGTCGGAACGGACTCACCAAAATTGTTCGCGGAACGGGTGCAGTCGGCAGCAGGCAGCGGCGGTCCCTCAGGGTTCACAAACTCTAGTAACCAGACGGTAGCGGCCTTACAGGTTCGAAGATCGAGTCGTCGTTCCCATACTCCCAGTCGTCCTCAGTTCTGCGGATGCCACGTCCCTTACAATATCCGTGTTCACACGCAAAATGGAAAAGCTTCTGAGCGATCGTTGGGACCTGATTTTATCCCAGGTTCGAATCGCTCACTACGACAACCTTCAGCCTCTGGCGGATTGGTAGGATGGAATCCCCCGTTTATCGGCTTTTGTCTCTAGCGACTGTTTTGTCTTACATCGGATTTCCTTAGTTTGTCGGTCGTTCTGACCTTGTGGCTAAGTCTTGTCGGCAGCCATTGTTTTCATCGGTCCCCGAACCTCACGGCGTCTTCGCTCGGCTCGGAGGACGCTCCAGGTCGCGGAGGATGAGCTCGCCGGCGTTGCCTTGCCGGCAACTGTCCTCCGCTCGTCCGCGGTATCTGTCGACTCCGTCCTCGCGGCTCCCTCGCGGCAGCTCCTTCTCGACATCTTCCATGCTGGTAGGTCACCTCTGGGTTTTGGCTGAAACATGCCTTCTTAGTGTGGCCTACCCTGTTGGTCTCTAATTAGTATTATTATTCGTAGAAGCGATTTACCTGGGATATCCGGTCCTCCATGTGCTTCTTTCGAGGATTCCTCCTCTCCCACGGCGATAGCAAATCCTTCCTAGTGTTGGTAGTCGTTCTTCTTGACTCGACCTCCCTATGACCGTATTTTTACACACAAGAAAATCGAAGGTTGCGTAAGTTCGCGTCCTATTCGCCTCATGGCTAGGACGTGACATCCACCTGCAGCCGGGAAACTCGTTTTAAGGCTTCCTTACGGCTTTTCGAGTGACGGACGATAATTAAAAATCGCCACGTCACAACACTCACTGGCATGTACTGAATATAGGCGCAAGAAGTAGTTGCTATAAACAAAACATTTGTAAGGACTAAGACAGATGAACAAGACGTAAGCCTCGTAATTGTAGACGTAAAATAATGGCTCCTGCATACAGGACGCGGTAATGCTTGCCGCGCGGCGGAAGTTCGCGCAACAACCAATCAATATGCTGCTTTTCGTAATAACCTTCTAGCTCTTACGGAAAAACAACATATTGATTGGCTGTCGTGCGGACTTTCGCGGACTTCCGCGCGGTAAGCATTACCACGTTCTGTGTACAGGAGCCATGAGGCAGAGAAAAACGTAAACATAAGTCATGAAATACTATTAGTTTTACGTTTACGTGTTTTTCTGCTTTATTTTACGTTTACGATTACGACGCTTACGTTTCGTTCTTTGCCTTAGTCCTAATTCCTCATGAATTCTCAAAGTGTTCTAGGAATTAAGTCGCAAAGTATTCAATATAATGAAGTCCTATTTGGAGGAATATTTAAAAACAAACTTATTGTGGTTAATTCTTCAAGAATTCTTCGAGTATTCATTTTTCTAGTTCTATACCTATTCTTTAAAATGAATGCTTTAGAAACTTCTGTTTATTTCTATAATATCTGGGTATGTTATTGTTACTTAGTGTTCATTAGATAATTTTTTTATTTTAACATCAAATGGTCATTGAAATAACATAAAATGATCATTAAAGTATAGGACGTTTTGCAATTATTTTTGTCGTCATATTGACTACCCTTATAGAAATATCATACTAAGAATCATTGATAATTATTTATTAAAAATACTGGATAATAAGTAATTATCAATGATTCTTAGTATGATATTTCTATAAGGGTATTCTTTTTGACATTATATTCTACATCAATTTGATGACAATTTGTCATTATTTCGATTAGTTTTTTTTCACTGGATACGTGTTAAACGCTCGCGCACATTACCTAGTATGTGGGGTATCGCAAATAATAATAAATAAATTAAATAAATTAAATAAATAATTTAAATATAAAAAACATATAGATGGATTCAAAATAAAAAAAACTAACTTTTTTTACTGACATAACGAATGTAATAAGTTAAAAATTAAAGTTGACAATGGCTCTCTCCCTTTATTTTGTTAATTATTTCAAATATTTTTTATTTTAATCTACTCAAGTTTATTTTGCATAGAAACCATGTCATTTTTGTTGTTAAAATACAAAAAATTTTTTTGTATCTCTAATAATTACCAAGATAGTAAAAAAAGAATGAAACCTTTAAAGGTAGTTTCATCTCTTAAACTTGAACTTTTATCGATAACAAAAATAAATATCTATTATTTTTGGTTACTTTATAAATACATCCAATTTATAAATTTTATAATAATCGGAGAGATGGATAGTTCATAGATGTTCCTTGTAAGGCAAATGTATATTGGTTGGGCTACATGTCGTCGGTAAAAAGCTTGAAATATCTTAATAACAAATATGCAACTTATTTTGTGTCAAGAATTTTAAATTAGTCACTAGACTTGCTTATAAATAAGCCATCTTATAAATAAAAATAAAAATAATCATGCGCACGAGCTAAAGAAGAAGAATAAACGAAACATGTATATTTATTTTAATACTTACCTTAAGAGCAAACGGCCAATGAATTAAATAGAGATCTATATAATTTAAACCAAGATTGGTCAGTGATCGTCTGCAGGACGGAATAACCAATTCTTCTTTGTGAAAAGTGTTCCATAACTAGCAAGAACAAATAACTTGTATGTTAATTAAATTTACAAAATAAAACAAAATATTCTAATTAAGTATTGTCTAACCTTTGTAGTAATAAAAAGATCTTCCCTAATTACGGTTCCATCCTCAATCTTCTCACGGACAGCTTTTCCAATTTCTTTTTCGTTATCATAAAAGAATGCTGTATCAATATGTCGATATCCAAGATTTATCGCTTCTTTTACAGCGTTCTCCACATCACCTTTGTACGACTATTAAGAAAAAATTTTATTTAAAATAAAAAATGAAAGTCGAAATAAATTATATTTGCATAAACTTCTGCAGACAAAATATTACTCTTTTAAATAGTAAAATTTTTGTTTTCGTATTATCTAATTAAATCTAGTAAAATTTTTGTTTTCGTATTATCTAATTAAATTCTGTTATCTAATTAAGTTAAACAAAGTGCAAAAAATGATCAACAATGTAAGATACTATCTGTTCTACAGATATATTCCGAAAGGTATTGGTACTACGATTACTCACTAAGCATTCAATAAGCTTTCTCTGTAAACATAGCTCAAACAATAATATGTTATCACAAAAATATTTAAAAGATATTTCACTTCTGAACTTAGTGATTTAGAGGGACTTCTAAAAGATAACATAAAGTTGTTAGAATGTTGATATACTGTTTTCAAGAGCAGAAAAATATCATAAAAATGTCTAAAAAATTTATCTCAAATGAATATATAAAATATCTAAGTGTCAACTCAAATAGAGTTCTTATTTATAATCCAATTTTATACAAATTATACCACGTTCCCTAAAAATATTTCTTAACTAATTTGATTTTTTAGGCTTTCGCAGTATCCATGCATATTAAATTTGGTTTCCAAGTTTGAGTCGCGTGGATTCTTTTTTGTTTGATTCCGACGTTTCGCGGACATTTCCGCTTCATCAGAGAGGAACGACCCGATGCCGAATTGCTCTCGAGAGGTCTTCCTTTATATAGTGGTTGGTTTAGGAGGAAAGAGGGGAGGAGGCAGAAAAGTGAGGGGGTTAGTAAAAGGAGATGGTGGTGGGAAATTTGTTGTCTGTCATGTTTTGGAAACAGGGAGGACGGATTGCTAGATTGAACTGATTTTTTGTCCATTATCACTCTATAAAGGAAGACCTCTCTCAGGAATAACTCGGCGTCGGGTTGTTCCTCCTTGATGAAACGGATTAAAATGTCCGCAAAATGTTGGAGTCAAACAAAGAAGAATCCACGCGGCTCAAATACGGGGAAACCAAATCTAAAATTTCTTAACTAAGTTTTTACTTCTCAATAAAACGATTTTCAATCTGTTGGTAGGGAAGTTTGCTAGTCATTTATTATATTATTGTACATAAAATTTTATAGATTAAGTTCGTCTCTTAAAATATCCAAACAATAATATATTATTAAAAAGATCTCTAAAAGATGTCTCGTTTCTGAATCTGATAACTTACAAGGGGAAGCTCAGATAGTGCATTCTAGAGAACATCGATAAGAAATAATCGATTATGATTTTAGTAACTTAACTGGAGCGCACCAATTATCCGTATATCGAGTGAAATAATCGATTCTACTAATAATCGGATACTAATAATCGGATACTAATAATCGCACTGTCGCTGCATTTCGTTAAGCATATTTGTGCTTATATATTTATAGTTTACATGACATATATTATAGATGAATAAGCGCATATACTGTTTGCGGAACAAACTTTTCCGATCAAAATAGATCTAACTTAGGCTGAGTTCCCACTGAGCACATCACGCATCGCGTCGTCTGCCTGCGTCACGAGTTAACCAATCAAATCCTCTAATTGGGATAACGCGACGCGCGACGCACGACGCACTTGTTCCAATGGAATGATTTGATTGGTTAATTCGTGACGCAGTCGGACGACGCGACGCGTGACGCGCTCAGTGGGAACTCAGCCTTATTTTTACCTGTATAAAAACAAGCTGGATCTAGTGAAATTCAGTAATATACTAGAAATGTACCAACCAGAATAAAACATTTCTAGTATGTCATTGAATCTCATCAGATTCAACGTAAAAACAAACGCCGTGCGCCGTCGATTTAAGCGCTTACTTAAGCTGGCCACACACACTTTCCGTAACAGTAACCATAAGACGTAACGTAAGAATTGACCAATCATGTTGAGAATCGTCGAATTGTAAGGGCGCGATTAGATGTAGTGCGGTATGCGGTATGCGGTACGCGGAACGCGGTAAAATAACTAGGTAACTGGGTAACTAGGAACCGCGCACGTTTTTAGTTACCTAGCCGCGAGCCGCGCTTATTTTTTTCGTAAAAAAAAAATTATCTAACTACAATGTTTCTGCGTCGTTTAGTACGATTTGATTATAATCTATTTTGTTTATATATATATATATATATATATATATATATATATATATATATATATATA